CATCAAGTACTTGTGACGGAGTTATCGCTCGATTTGTTATTATAAAATCTATCATTGATCGCTGGCCTCGATTATTGTTAAAAGTGCATTTATGTTGGTCTTTATGAGGAAAGTATGTATTGTTGATTCTCATTTCATTTCTAGCGCAAAAGTCTATTAGTGCTTCGCCGTTTTCATTAATTATTTCTTCGTTGTACTTTTGTTTTATACCTGGTATGACAACGTTTCCAATCCATGCATCAAGTTCCCCGAGTACGATAATTTTGTGTTTCGTATTTATGTTATCTACGACGTTTTGTAGTTGCTGATAGAAATTTTCAGTTTCTGCTGTAGGCTTAGATATGTCTGGGGCATACGTGCTTATTAGGTGTGTTGTGATGTTACGCATTTTTATAGAGATTTTTAATAATCTATCGTTGATGTATTCGATATCTTCGTTGTTTTGCGTGTATTTATCGTGCAGCAAAATTCCAACTCCTGAATGCGCTCTTTCTTGTTTAGCTTTCCCGCTGTATATGAGTATAAATTCTCCGTATTTTGATGTTCCTTGGCCTTTTTTCTTTGTTTCGGAGATTCCGCAGATGTCAATATTGTGTTTCTTCATTTCTATTATGATCTCCTGGTCTCTTCTCTTTCTCTGATTAAAATATGGAGATGAAAAAACCTATTGAATTTGCTAGGTCCATTTGCATAAAAATGAAGAAACTATTTAATAATCGTGATATGAATCTAAGTCTACGAATAAAAATGTTAAGATCATATATGTTTAGTACCTTGTTGTATGACGTGGAAGCATGAACTCCTAAACAGAACAATATTAAGAATAAGTTGTGTTGATCAAGTCAAAAATGAAGAAGTATTATGTTTAATGAACGAGATGTGGTATTGGTAATACTTACCATAGAAAAAAGAAAATTAGAATACTTGGGCCATCTAATGTGGGGACAAAAATACATATTCCCCTAAAATATAATACAGGTTGAGATTGAGGGACGAAGGAATCCAGATACCTATAAACAAAGTTTGAATATCCTTGATGGCATCCAATCTCTGATAGAAAAAGAAAGAAAAGAAAGTTTTAAAGATGCAAAACAATGGACAGGGAAGAGAAGATCGAAGGTTTCAACTTTTGTGGAGTTGGACCATTGTTATTCTGGGGGCCTCAAATTTTGAATTTGGAAGGCCAATAGAAAAATTTTGGAATTTATATTGGGCAAAAATATTTCTTTAAACATAAAATATATTTTTTTTCTTTTAAAGGAAGGACAAAAGCCATAAATAATATAGTCATAAATATACAAAAAATGCTCTATTAAGGGTGCTTTACACAATAAGTAAAGTTTTATAGTTTTTAATTAAATTTTCCAAAATGAATTTATAGATGTTGTTGAATATATTAAAACTAATAGGATATAGTTTAGACTCCATTTATTCCCTAAGTGTGATCTCTTGGTTTACCTCATAGATGGCTCTTCAAACTTGAACAAAGTACATTAAAAATGCTTACATTAATTTTATTAGAGATAAAAACAAAAAATTATTATAAATCTTCAAAAATTATATCATTCGATTATTCCGGATTTTCCTTCACTGCAACAGTCCCAGTCTGGTAGAGTTTGTCGAACATCATGTTTCTTAACATTTTGTTGTCAGGTTTAAAATTTACGCAGTCTTTTTCTAAATGGATTTGCTGCTTTGATAACATATGTCCATTGAGCATATCTGTTATCATTCGATTTCTTAATTTTGTTTTAATCAAATTTACTTTTGAAAATTGTCTTTCACAACTGGCACTGGAATGTGGCAGTGAAAGAACGCTCAAAACAAAATTACATAAATAGGGGAATATAAATTCGCCGCTAAAGTCAGCTACATGACGTAGGTTAGAAAAGAAAACATATATTTCTGTAGATTCTGATAAATCCTCGAAATTACTTAATTTTCTCCACTGATCGCCAATTTTTTAATTTGGCTAGTATTTTGGAGGTCACAAATTTGTGGTAGAGATTTCATTAAAGGCAAAGTGTAGTTCCAGTTCCTTTTTTGATATTATTTATATTTAAAATGGAAAGTTAACTTAAGTTAACGAACGTTAAGCTTTTCGAAGTTATAACGCTTCCGAATCTGCAGACAAGCAGTAATTAAAAAATTATGACAACGTTCAAGAAAATCTAGTTGTGTCACCTGTTCTACAGAATCAATATTGTTAAGAACTCAAATGCCCAGGTACATGTTTGTAATCAGGAGAAAGTGTATGTGTTATCAGTTGGATTAATTTTACCAATGGGTGTCCTATTGATATAATTTGGTTCTATAAAAGCTGATAATAAATCTTTATAACACATAATCATCCTATCATGTACCTAAGTATGAAATGACTACCTTTTCACTTTGAAAGTATTTGTTTAAGTCGACAAATTTAGGAAGTATTCATTCCAAAAAAAAAATAAAATAATTTAATCTTTTGCTGATTAAGAGCAATATATATTTCCTCACTGGTTATAAGACGATGCTCTAAATCTTCTTCTTCTTTTTGTGCCACTTCTATCGGAGATTGGAAATCATCAAGGCTATTCTGACCTTGTTTACGGCTGACCTAAAGAGTTCATCAGTGGTGCAGCCAAACCACTCTCTCAAATTCCGCAACCATGACATTCTTCTACGGCCTGGATTCCGTTTTCCTTCTATTTTTCCCTGCATTATATTTTGAAGTAATGAGTATTTATGTCCTCTCATCAGGTGACCAAAATATTCGAGTTTTCTTCGCTTTAGCGTTAACAAAATCTCTGGGTCTTTTCCTATTCTTCGTATTACTTCACAGTTTGTTATTCTTTCAACCCAACTAATCTTCAGCATTCGACGTTAGCACCACATCTCGAAACTTTCAATATTTTTCATGTTGTTCTGTTTGAGAGTCCAGGCCTCTACACCGTATAATAGCGTGTTAAATACATAGCCTCTCAGCATTCTTAATCGTAGAGGGATGCTTATATTTCTGTTGCAGAAGAATTTTCTCATCTTTATGAAGGTGGCCCTGGCAATTTCGATACGTCTTTTTATTTCACTGTTTTGGTCTCCAGTTTCGTTTATTAAAGCTCTAAATAATTAGGAGTAAAAAATAATTTTAGAGATTTCCACTGTTCTAACATGCGTTTAACTACTTCTAGTAATGATAGCCATCGAGTTTACGCTGGTCTAAAAATGTTATGTGGCTCAGTGTTACAAAAGTCCTAAAATTCTTTAAACATTGCTTGTCGTTTAGCACGATTTTTGAAAAAACCGTAAATATTTCTGGTCAAATCTTCACATCTTCGTGGTAATTTTTTACATACTTCGCTCGCGCATAAATGCAAAGTGCACATGCATTTTTGAAGCATTGACCCTGGAATGTCGTTGGCCAGTTTGCTTGTTAAGTACGGAGTTTTTACTACCAAACATAGTGTTGCAGCCATCTGATGCAAAACCTCTCATGTTTTGAAGAGGTATATTATTTTTTGATAAAATTTTAATTATTTCTTCATATAACCCCTGGCTAGTAGCTCCTTCGTTTACTTTCTCAGGTTCGTCGTCGAAAAAAATTTGTATAAACTTCCAAAAAAGAGTATCAACTTTACAGGTTTTAGGATGAAAAAATCGTACACAAATACACAAAGTCTTGACACAAGAAATGTCTGTAGATTCATCAATTATCAAGCTAAATTTGGAACACTTCAAATAAGAGACAATTTTATCCTCGGCACAAGCACCGATTAAATTTTTTGATATCTGTGTAGCTTAGAATCTTCTCAGTGACATATTCTAGGCAATCTTAGAATCAGGAAAACAACTTTTAATTAGATTTGTTAGATGATGAGCTGAATTAAATGAAATATTTATGTTCTGTCAAAAATCCTGTAAGTTTTATTTCGGCAACTTGACTCTGAGTTTACAAAGAGCTCTCAGGCTTATTAAACATAGCTGTAATTGTTGTACTTGGCAAACTTTTCACTTTTAGAGCATGTTTCAAGGACTTCGCATGATTTTTAATCACGGTTATTTCGGCAGTGAATTCTACATTACCAGCGCGGCAACGAGCCTTTGTGGTGTCTGGAAGTAAAATATTTTAGATATAAAAATCAAATATTACCTGCAATAATTTACCATTAATATTTGTGATTCAACCTTTAAACTTGAGAGTCTTGCTCCCATTCCACACGGTATTTCTGTTTTCGGTTAGTAAGTTTTTTTAACTCTCGCCCCGTTTAAACTTCTTATATTCAGGCGACCCCCTAACCCTCTAACCCTAAAATGTTCAAACACGACATATGTAGCGTTGTCAATTTTAAAATAATTTCTGAATAATTGGGAAGATTCAATACCAACTGATAGGTCCTCTTTATAAATTTATTATGGATTGCATTCTACTTGTTTTATAAGACTCGTATACGTACAATATTTTACTATATTAAATTTTAATTAATCAGATAAGACAGAACAACAAAAATTAAAGAAAAACATTGTATAACTTAGAAATCTATTTTCGATTTTATGAACCTGTTTTAATGTATTTACACTCTCAGATCTTACTTTATTATACAAGACATTACATTATAATTATGTCATTTATATTTTATACATTTTTATATATAGGAATAAACCAAAATTAATTGATTTTTTTTGTCCTACTGCAGCAAAAAAAATGAATTAGTATTAACATAAAATAAATAATACATTGATTAGTATATAATAATAAATAAAAATAGGTAATAATAAAGCCAAAAATATTCCACAAGAAAATAGTTTCAGAAACATGTTTCTTTTTTTTTTGTTTCATATTGAAAGTCAAGACTCAAGACGGATAAAATCTTGCAATCCGACAACGTTCTTCTCTTGGAAGTTTGAATTCGTGTCTTCGTGTGCTTTCGGTTCTATTTTAGTATTGAATTCACGAACACATAGGTTACTGACAAAGGTGATGCTGTTTCAAAACTGACAGCTTGTCAACAAATCTCTCTTTTTCTGTCCATTTTATGTCACAAGTAGGTAGGTAAATTTTTCTGAATAAAATTCTATAATCATCCTAAAATTTTAAACTAATTAGGTAGTGTTTTTATGAAAATTGGATATTATTTTATCTGTTTTAATAAAATATACTTTAATTTTTGACACCAGTCCCCAAAATATTTTAAAAACAAATAACACTTAGGTTATGTGTATGTAGACCTTCTAATGTGTTCACCTTCTAATAGTATGCTTTATTTTTAGGGCTAAAATGAAGCAAATTGTAACAAACCAAACGGTAAAAATTCCTGAGGGAATTACCGTAACCGCTAAATCAAGAGTAGTAACTGTAAAAGGACCCAGAGGTACTCTTAAGAGATCATTCAAACATCTTACCCTGGACATTCGAATGATTAACCCCAGGTTACTGAAAGTAGAAAAGTGGTTCGGTAAGTAGTAGTTTGTTTTGTATTCTAAGCTATAAAAGTAAAGTGTTAGTTGATTAGGTTCATATGGGTACTTTAGAAGAATAAGTGGAAGTAGAAGAAAGCTGGAAGAATTAAAGTAGAACAGGATAAAACAAACAAAAAGATAGTGGTAGTGAATGTGAAAATACTGTGACAGTGTAGAGAATAAAATTCAACTGATGAAAACTGAGTTAGCAGAGAACTGATGAATTTACATAATTGAAAATTCATGCATAACAGTAGAAACAACTGTCTACCTTGTATTGTACACAGCAACTCCATATTTGAATATATTCATTTTGAAATATTTTAATGATTTGATTTCTCTATAAATGTCTACAAAGTTGTGTTATTTCATGAAAATTTAGTGGATGCACGGGATGTATTCAGTTCAAAAACTGATTAGATATTCATGTAGAATAATGGATGGTTTGCAGATTTTCATAAGTTCAGTGACATACATATCTTTTTTATTTAATAGGTATTGTGTAAAATCAACTAATCTTTGTGCTATTTTCCCTGTTCCAGTAGGCTTGTTTTTAATTTTGCTTAAGTCAATTAATTTTTACTACTGGTATGAATAATTGTAATTGGACACTCAGTGTCAATTAAGTAATATGCATTTTTGGCAAAAGTATAGAGAAAGTGCCGATGAAGTTAGCTTCAAATGATTCGTCAAATTTGCGTTTGCGGTATTGCATTGTCTGTATTATGTATATGTTTTGTGCCTCAAATATGCTTTGAAACAGTACATTTTTATTATATTATTTTATAAAATCAGGTATTTTTTAAATTAATATAACACAAATGATTGAATATTTGTTTCTTTTGATATTAGTTGCAGTACGTCATTAGAAAAAAAAGTTATAATTGGCTATTGGTAGATTAGCAAATAAACTCGGCAATACTATCAAAACTTTGAAAATACTAGTTGCCAGATTGCAACAGATATTTGGCAGATTTCAATTTTAGGACTATTTTCATATAATTTTGGGATGAAATGGTACTGGAATACCGTTTTGTTAAAGTATTAGTTAGTTACTGGAACTTGTTCATATCGTCATTACATTTGTCGAACTACATTTAAATTGTGTGAATTTGTGTATTCTATAAACAAAATTTAAATTAAAAATAATGCCTACAACAATTGTTCAACCAGAGAGGGTGTTAAATGTGTAAGAAATGCGGAAGAACATTTAATTTAAATTATAATAAATTAAATTTAAATAAATAAACTTCTTTTAAAAACTTAAGAAGAATGTTTAGTAACATTAATTAATATTATATTGCATGCTCTTTAATGATTTATTTGTGATATGGCAACACTGCCGCTCATTTGTGGCTAACTTCATCGGCACTTTCTCTATCCTTTTGCGGCATTTTTAAACACTATTATTTTATTTTTCTTATAAAATGCTTTTATAGGTACTAAGAAAGAATTAGCTGCTGTCAGAACAGTATGCTCTCATGTTGAAAACATGTTAAAGGGTGTTACAAAAGGATACCAATACAAGATGAGAGCTGCATATGCTCACTTTCCCATTAACTGTGTTACCACTGAAGGAAACACAGTTATTGAAATCAGAAACTTCTTGGGAGAAAAATACATTAGAAGGTAAGTTATCTTATATATTCTGAATAAATTGTATTTATTGAATCCTTAAAATCCATAAAAATTCATATTTTTTATATGAATGTTGCTATGTTGGCTCTTGTGTTTATGAGATAAATAATCCTTTAAAGGTATTTAAGCTCAAAATTAATTATGAACATTTAATAATTAAAAAAATATGAATTATTTATTTCTAATTATTATCTAATTAGAAATTTGTAGTTTTGTCCATTTATTCCTCTAATAGTATTGTTATGCTTTCAAATTTTAATCTCCTGTCTATATTTCCTAACAAACTTCTAGGTCTTAGTTTTTTTTATAACATCTTACTAGAAGCAACTATTTTTCTCAGAACCATACTGTGGACATTTATGATTTAATTGGACTAACCATTTAATCTACTCAGTTGATAACATGGGGAAGTGTATGAAAGAGGTAGACTATAGAATCATGTTCCAGATTAAAGAGAAGAAACAGGATCCCTTTGTCTACAATTTTTAATATAATTTCTGTCTAGTAACAATTTCAGGAAATGTGCAGATATAGGGCCATACTAGTTGATATTCCATTTAACATTAAATAATGTAAATCTTATAAATTTTAGATTTTGATTAACTATTCACTGATTAAAATTGTGATAAAAACAGGTTTCTGTGAATAATTTAAATTTTTAGGGTAAAGATGGCCCCAGGTGTTACAGTAGTAAACTCCACCAAACAAAAGGATGAACTTATCATTGAAGGAAACTCATTGGAGGATGTTTCAAAGTCAGCTGCCCTTATTCAACAATCCACAACAGTTAAAAATAAGGATATCCGTAAATTCTTAGATGGGCTTTATGTATCTGAAAAAACAACTGTTGTACAAGAAGAATAACTTGTATTTTTGAAATAAATTTAAGTTTATATTTTTTTGTCTTAATGCTTTCTCAATCCAAATATAACATCATTTAACAGAATCAGTGGATATTTCCACAAAAAAAAAATAGCCAGTGAACTTGCAATTAACTGGTTACTGTTTGCCCAGATCATTAATATATATAAGATCTCATATTAAACCACAATGCACAAGTATTCAGTTTTCTTTTTATTGACTTCTAGATCTATACCCCATAAGTATATCATACTTTTCAATTCATTTTTGGGTCATATAGTTTAAATTGTCATACTATTGAGCAAATATTACTTGTTATTACATTGTTGTTACATTATTGTTAATATTACAAATATATTGTTTGGAAAAGTAAGCTTATATATCATAGTGTTGGTGAGTAGTATTCCCATTGTACTACATTTTTGTTTCCAGCTTCCTAAGTGCTTTTGAGATATATTTTAAATCAAGAGGGGACAGGCAATATCCTTGCTTCAATCCCTTTGATATTACATATCCTATTATTTTTTTTTTGCAGTTTGTTATGAGTTGTATAGCTTTTAGTAATTCTATATTAAAATTCGTACTTTCCATAGATTGCCACAGCTTATTCGGTGGTACTCTATTGTAGGTCAACAGATTGCATATGAATTTCCTGATTTCGTACCATATTTTTTCTATTATTTGGATTAAGAAGAAAATTTCGTCGGTATACTGTGAAAACCAGGTAAATGTCTGAATACCGAAATCAAGAAAAAACATTTTTAAGGTTTAGTTTTTTATTGTGAATTATACAGTCAACTTGTTTTTGATATTAGGTATTATAGTGAAAGATACATATATCAGAGAAATGGTATTCTAACATTAGTTTGAAAAAGTTAAGACAGCTATCTGACTTATCCTAAATTTAAGTTGGAAATGCTATCACTTACCTGGTTTTACCTGTAAATCTAAATAAATCAGTTACTCTTCAAATAAAATATTTAACACAAATATAATAAACCAAGTATAATATTTTCCAGTTTTGTGATCGAGATATGAGGCTTTTACTAGGTAATACCAATTTTTTAAGGTATTAGTCGATATTTGACATTTAACTGGTTTTTTTCTGAAAATTAACAGCTGTTTATAGTTATTGTTATTATTTATATGAATGATAGGCAGTTTTATAGAAAAAACAAATTTATTTCGAATATAATAACAATATTATTACTATGAGGCTTCCTCGTCTAATTTGTCACTGAAAGCAGGCTCTGGCAAGATGTCTGTTACATCATTTTCCGTTTTCAAATTACGATACCACCCGTGATATTCCTCCGTTATCACAACTGTACCATTTTTTTTTCTATGCCAATTGGCAAATGTGCATCATAAAGTCGCTTAAGTTCTTCAAGATTGCTTGTATTAGTTGATAACTTAGCGTGCTTTTTTTCTTGTTGACTGCCGTGCAGTATCAGTAAGGAAAAAATTAAAGCTTGTTGACATGTCATAATTAAAATAGATTCTGTTTGTCTCTACTTTCACGAATCTCATTTTTTATCTTTTCTCTTATTTTTTGCCATTTTGGTCTTTTGTCCGGTTTTTAATTAAAGTGTGTGACAATTTTTTAAATCATAAAAGTCGTAGATAGTATTTAAATTCTTTACATTTTTATGGTTCTATACATACTTTTTTATCATCAACCTTGATATTTTTAGTTCCTCTTGCATTTTGAAAAACAGGCAAGTAATCTGGCATCCCATAGATAGATCTGTGTTTTAGCAGTGATACTACTATATATGAATGTTCAGACTTTAAAAATTTGTGTTTAATAATATTTAAATGGTCCATGTTTTAAACAGTCCATAATAGTAAGGCTGCAATATGCTGATTATGATTCTGTCCTCAGCAGGTATCAGAAAATAAACTTATTTCACTTACATATTCTGGAACAGATTTTGAAGTAGTGGAGTATATTGGATCTTTTTTAGGAACAAAAAAGCTTAAAATTATATTCGTCAATATGTAATTTCGTTAACACCTTCCAGTTTCTTCTGCTCACGGTCATTTATATAAAGTTGGTACATTTTTCTTATACTTAAATTTTTGTCCAAATATATACACTTTGAACTTTGGCAAATATAATGTGGGCCCATGGTTGGAAAAGATTCTAATGTTTTTCCCAGAAAAGCATATTTGGGTCATCAGCAAGATTTGAGGAACTACTAACCACCGCATTTGGAAGGTCGTTTATGTAGACCAAAAAGAGGAAAGGCGCTGTGATTATTCATTTTAATGACGGTCCCTGTATTCCATAAAATGTAATTTAAAGATAACATGATCTAGGTTATCTAAAAGCCTTAAATAGGTCCAAAAAAGTCCCTACAGTTTTTGATATAAAATCGTAGGTAGCTGTCTAAACAGATCTCCCTGAGAGAAAACCATGCTGTGAACTACTAAATAATTTGTGGTAAAAAAGTTTTGTAGTTTGGAATATATGGGTTTTTCAAATATTTTTAAGAATGATTGAAGAACGCTTATTGGTTCCATCTTAGTAACATCACCTTTTTTATGTAGTGGCTTGACAATTACCAGTTTAAAACTTTGAGGAAATTTACCCTGCCTGAGGTGTTGAGGCATGGACTCTTAAACAGAGGAATATTAAAAATCTTGAAAGCTTTGAGATGTGCTGCTACCGCCGTAAACTAAAAATAACTTAGGTGGATAAAATTACAAATGAAGAGGAAAATATAATTCTAATACGCAGAATAAATAACTATCCAGAAGTTATCATGAATATAAAAAAGAGAAAACTTGAATACTTAGGCCACCTGATGAGAGGACAAAAGTACACATTCATACAAAATATAATGCAAGGAAAAATCCAAGGACGCAGAAATCCAGGCCGTGGGAGAATGTCCTGGATGAGAAATTTAACAGAGTGGTTTGGCTGTACCACTAAGGAATTATTCAAAACAGCAGTAAATAAAATTAGAATCGCCATAATGATATAGGAGAGGCACTCAAAGAAGAAGAAAACCTCGCCTGAAAGAAGCATTAATTATAAAAGAAAGAGGAAGAGAAATGCAATGATTATTTTTATTAAAATATTTTATTATTGATACATATTAATTTGAACATTTTTTACAGCTTCTGGCGCTGCATTTGCCATAAATTGATTTTATTTCGTAAAGCACCTGAGAGTAACCTTCTGAACAGAAATTACCTTGATTTTTGGAATTGCTCTTAATCTCTTTTACTAATTGCCAAGTCATTTTGTTTTATTTTCGCTATTTTCAGTTCGTTCTTTGGCCGTGCAAATTCTGCGGTAGTATTATTTTCAGTGTTAAGGAGTGCTCCCAGGTATACAAATTCGTTCACTGCTTCGATGACTTAATTTTATCTAACAAGTGGTCGTGGACATTATGTTTGCGTGTTTTTTCTTACTACTTCGTTTTGTTGGTGTTTATTATTAAACCCATTTTGTAGCTGATTTTTTAATGGTACATACGCTTACAGCTTTTTTCGTTCTCCCAACAATATTCAATCAGCATAGGCAGAGATTTACACTGATTTATTATGTATTGAACCAACGGTTGTGATTTGTGACATACGTATTACTTTTTCCAGAGCCAAAAAATGCAAGTATAGTGGCATATAAAACAAACAAATTGTGCAAAAGAAAATATATTTATTATTTTATTTTCTTTAATTATAAGTACAATACCTAGACAGATTTAATGATCAAAACACTAACAAAGAACTATTATTAAATCTAGTTTAAAATATTTACAATATAGTGACTTGGAATGTAAAAACTAATCTTAGTTACACATATACAAATTACCTTTTTGTTACAGTCCTTTATACAGTAAAAATAAATTTAAAAGCAACATGTTACTTAAAATTTTGAGAAAATAACATAAGAATTGATATAGGTAATTTCATTCCTATTAATAAAAAACTATCTGCTAAACTTTTAAGGCACTTGTAAAGTATCCAAGAGGAAGCAACAGTATCTTTGTACAGAATACAAATCTAGTACAGTAATATTTATTGCACGTATTTTAAAACTTACAGTTTTGCTTCGATATTATGCCTATTTATGTATTTTAAGATAACCAATGGATTTTCTACAGAAAAGATACTACGAACAGTACTGTTCATGGTAGTATCTCAGTGTTTTAATCCTATATGGAACTATCCTAAATATTTACCGTTTAAAAAATACAAACTTTACATGATAGTTACTGCCAAAAATTAATATTGGAGATATAATGTTTACAGTACCATTTAATTATCACTTAAAGTATGCAATTCAATATAAATTAACCAATACATTTTTAAAAAAATAGATTTTTAACCTAAATACAGTATATAAATAGTACAGATAACGGAATTTATAGTGATTTGAGCGAAATCAAATATTAGCTACCTCCCTATCCCCAACAACAGATCCGAAAACATCCTCCTAAAGGGGGATGAGACTCTCCTAATTCTCCACAGGACCTCCCGACCGTAACTGGAGAGAGCGCTCTGTATTTAATAAGGCCCAAGTACACATTGACTCCATCCTAAGGTGTTGCAATAAATACAGAGTAGCATTAAACCCAACAAAAACCAAAAATGATACTATTCTGACATATCAAATGTTCTCAACGATACCTGGAAAACGGCCACATAATGCCCAAAGGAGAAAGGCGCATTCAGACCATCGGTGTCCTATTTGGGTGTTGAATTGACAAAAATACTCAACTATAACAATGATATCAAAAACACTCTAGATAGGGTGGGAAAGAAAGCTAACCTCATGAAAACATTGTATGGCGAGTACAGAGTAGGACTCTACCCAGCAATCAACAAAAGGAAAATGAACCAACTCATGGCCACAAAGAGGAAAATTCTGAGGAGAATCAACTAGACAACATCCCTACAATCCAAAATCGGATCGAAACTCTTAGCAAAAGGTACGTTTTACGAACTATCAACAGCTAGAGTATCATTGCAAAGGAGATCCTAAAAACAACATGCCATCACTGAGGGCAAGTACTCACTCGAAC